ACATATTATGTATAGCATATATTTTACTTGTATTAAAATATAGAATATATTTATGCCCCAGAAGGTTCTCTCATCTTCTGTCTAGGTCAATACCCTATTTCCACCCCTGTAACCACTAATCTGAATTTGATTGCCAGATACATTGTTTCTGTTTTTGAGCTTTATTTAAATAGGATTGTGTAGAATATTCTCTTTTATTTCTGACTTCTTTGCCTCAATGTTATACCTGATTTTCATCCATGTTGTTGCTTATAGTCCTAGCTAGTTCTTTTAAATTTCTATATAGTATTCCATTGTATAAATATTCCACAATTTATCCATTTTCCAGTTGCTAAATGTTGCTTCTGATTTTTGTTTTTTATGAATAAAATTGTGATTAATATATCTTACATACATTTGTCAGTGGATATATGCACTGTCTTCAATATTTTTAAACATTGCATTGCAAACTTAAGTGAGCTGAATTTTTTCTTGTTTGTTTGGAATTCCTGGAAGGCTTAGGGTGAAGTAAGCCTCACACAAGCCACCTACCTTTTCTCTGCCTATGGATATTTTCTTTTGTACTGAAGGTAGACTTTTTGGGTTTCCTTACTCTCTATGTGTGGGAGAGGTGGCAGGGGAGGAAGAAGGAGGGTAAAGACTCAGTTCCATTTTCTTACCTTTAGGCCTCTGGCCTAAAGGCCATGGAGACTAGCAAATGTGCTCAGGGCTCTTGAAGCTGTTGAAACTATTTGCCACTGTGGATTCTAACTTCTTGATTTTGCTTTTTGACCCATAAGGGTTTTATTTACTTTTTGGTGAAATCAACTCTTCTTTTAGAAAAGTGTTTATTATACTTTCCAAATGTTTAGCAGTGGTACTTTTTTTTCCAGAATATACATACGAGTTTCTGTTCTACTCTTGAGTGATAGAGTTACTGCCAGTCATTGGTTTTCACTGTATTTGGAACTACCTTGAGAGAGAATCACCTAGAGAAAGGCCTTTGGATGAATCCTGTTTGACAAAGATGTTAAAATACCCTCAGCCAGAGATAACTTCTGTAGTGAGAGATTTTACTGTGAAAGAAAGCAGTATACATACGTAGAAGTGTGTATACTTTCCAAGTACGCATGTCACAGCCAGCAGCCCCTAGTTAGCTCCTATCTGTTGAAGTTCAGCAAGTTAATGAGTTGCAGCTGTGTTGGCATTTCTGCTCTTAATGATTTACTTTACTCTCATTATCAGTGAATAGAACACAAGGAAATAGTGGTTTAAAAAACATGACACACAGCATAGTTTATCATTTTGTCAGGTTTGAAAAATTCTTCTCTGGAATGCTAATATCCTCTATGAAGAGCTGGAAGTGTTAGTTCCTGAATATGGTTTAAGACAAAATTGTCATCACAGGTACAGTCTACTAATTTGTTGACTAATACTGGACTTTAGCTGCAAATGAAAACCTACACATTACTTCACAGAGTTTCATCTGTCCTATTCCAACAAGTATGAGTTATTTTTGACAGCATTTCTTCAATTTCCAAGCAGTTAGGGATATTTGTTTCAACTTTTGTTATTAATTCTAGTTTAATTGTATCGTGGTCAAAAAATGCAGTTTGCAAAGTTTCTGATTTTTACTTCTACAATATGATAAATTTATATAAATGCTTCATAAGCCTTTGAAAATAAGTTATGTTTTTATATTTTGG